GACTTTCATGGTGGAATTCGATTTCAATCGAGTTTTACAATCAGATGGGAACTTGAAGATAAAAACTTCCTCAAAATAGACATTATCTGTTTAGATGACAGTTTAAAGTATCGGATTATGGTGATTAAAACAAATGAAAACTTCATACCTTTCTCCAAAACGTGACTTTCAGGAAGCCTCGAGGGACGGATTAGGTAACTGCTTCTGAATTGATACCAGGCTTCTGTCGGTCAAAGTCAAATGTCCCGACCCCGGGGTCGCTTCACACGATCAAAAGCCCGACAGAGGGGATAGTCCCAGGCATCAAATCCCCTCCCCTTGCCCGCACTCCCCCCCCCCCCACGGGTTTTACATTGATAGGTGCATAAGGTTGCCTGCGCTGTCGTTTGCGGCTTTGGTGTCACTACTTTCTCCTCCTCAGGTTTTACTCAGTTCCAAAGGCTTAGTGGGGAGCACGGACTTTTAAAGCGGGGTACTGGAGACGAATGAGAAGCGCGAGTGAGGGATGATGGGAACAAACGCCGAGTGCGAGCGAGGAGTGATGGCCCCCTTCCCGTCACTCTCTTCGCCCCGTGTTCCTTCATAATTAATTCATATATTCCCCAAATAAGTGATCGCGCACGACAGGGGACGAGGCAGGTGTCACTAATCTGTTGCCGCGCAGTCCGTTCCTTTCAAATTCAATAAGATCAAGACACACATGAAATTCGATATTCGTTTGTGTCCAAATACATCGCCAGTGCAGAGTTAACGCCCAGCTTGATCCCAAATAGAGATTTGTTTCCTACGGGAAAAGCAGCCTTATCGTGTGGTCATCTCATCTTCTCTCGGAGGTGCGCTTTCAACATGAAATGTCATGATTTGGCAAGCAGTGAAGACAGCTTCTTCACACTGATGCTCTTCCAAAGGAGTATTGAGGAAAGGTATTGATAGAAAAAAGGACAAAAAGGGAGTGTGAGAGAGAATTCAAACGAAAGCCAAATAGTAATTAAACAGGCTACTCACAACTTTTAAGATCTGCTCTGATGAAAGTGTGAAACACAAAACGTCTTTAAGCCAGTTGACCTTCTTTTAACTCAACTGATGTCAAATGGAAGGGTACTATTACACAGTACTGCAAAATTGTTTTCAGGGGTTATCAAAATGACAAAGCGTAATTTGCACGGCTAAATAATTCCTATTTTTGTTTTTCTTTTGCGTTTCAACTTTTTTGTGACGCCATTGCAATTAGATGTATTTAAACTAACCAGAAGGGAAGGACACGAGAGAAAAGAAATGATTAGGAAAATGTCTGCTTGATTATTTCAGGACATGGTCCAGAACATTCCTGGTCACATGACTACTGTGACAGACCCAGAGAAACTGCTTCAAGAGATGGATGTGAATCGGTTACGCGCTGTGGTGTATCGGGACTTCGAGGATAGCAAACAGTCGCAGTTTCTGGCCTTAACAGTCGTGTACTTCATTGCTGTAATGATGGTGGCTAAGTACAGAGATCTCCTTAAGTCTGAAGACTCTGATGCCAGAGCAAGATTTCATACTAGTCCAGGTGCGTTTCTGATATGCGATATGTTTCGTAGCGAAATGAGCCTCGAAAAGTGGTGCTTCACCTGAGACACCGAGAAGTGAGTTGTTTAACGAGGTAGAGTAGATACTTTAGAAGTGACTTCAAGGTTTAGGGATAACAGATTAAACACTCTTTCGAGTTTAAGGGGAGAAGGAGTGGCGTAGCGTAGCCTGCGAACATAGCCACTTGTACAAGTTTGAAAATTTTGCCGGCAAACCCGTGCACCCGGTGCGGAAAATGCTTTCCTCTCGCCGAGAAGCAGTGTGGCCAGGGGTTTCGAGTCCCGCCTGGACGTCAAAAATCAAATAGGTTTCGATTAGCAAAGAAAATCTTTAGTTTAAACTAAGTTGAACTCAAAATTTTTCTACCTTCAAACTCTTTTCTTTATTACTTTTTGCACACTATCATTAATAGTTATGTTTATTTTGCTTTATATGCGGTAATAATTCTTTATGTGTTGTAATAGTTTGCCTTTTGCCTGTAAATCTTGTACTTATTAATTTTTATTGTCATTGTAACTTAGCAGCACATTGTAACTCTCTGACCTACGCCATATAAGCCTCTGGCTTTCGCATCTTGTTATCGTTAACTTGTGCTTTGTGTACTTATTTATCAATAAAGAAAGTTGTAAGTTGCAGCACGCTTATTGGACACTTCTTTGCCGTTGTTGCCGACTACGACTTCAGTCTTCCCGAGTTTCATGTTTTATGGAGGACGTGAACACAAGACCACAATTTTTCTTCTTTTTTTTCTGTCCTTTAAAATCAACACCAGGAAAATTCCCCAACAGTAAAGTAAACAAATTGTATGAAATTAAATAAAGAGTAATAAAGATTAAGTGACGTTTTCGCGTTTCCGTCGTTTTTGCTTAAGTTCTATAATAACTACACAATGGCATTTCATTTCAGGTCCTCCTGCGTCGGAAAGTGAAGTTCAAGATGTGGATAGCCGATCACGAGCCGCCAGCTGGGGTGGTCAGCGGAGTGCTTCTGCAGATGTGGAGGAGGATGTATTCTCTTGGGACGAGGAACCGAGCATGCCCAGTTTGCTGAAGGGCTCAGTAGACTTTAGCCGGTTGAGTTTGTCGGAGAAGTTGGAGATTGGATTCAAGTCTTCTGGGTCCCTCCTCAAGGAAGTGTTGTTGGACTTCAGCCCCTTTCTTAGCAGGATCCTTATTGGCAGTCACGGACAAGAGCTGGTTTTAGAGGGACTTTCTTGCCAGAAGACGGACTCTATTGTCGAGCTAGTTATGTTGTTGTGTTCTCAGGAGTGGCAGAATTCTCTGCAGCGGTAAGCACGTCTTTTTTTGCTCCCACCCCAATCTCCTCGCCCGCCTTTATTACTCAGCGCGCCCAACCAAAACCGCCATGCTACGCAGGCTACCGCTGGGTTCGCCTCTTTCTTCCTGCTCGCCCCTTTACTCGCCTCAGTTTCTTTCTCCACTGAGGAGCCTGGTCCCTAGCAAGAGTTAGTTATCATATTTAACATTTTACGTTGCGTGATCGTGTATTTCGGTGATCCAATAGCATCCTTCAGTGATACACTTGGAGTACACATTTACTTACAACTGCATCGTTAGATGTCTAATAGGTAACTTGAGATCAGCCGGTCCTTCTTCCCTTTTTCTTTACCCGTCCTCCTCAGAAAAAAAATAATTAAAACAAAATAAAGTAAAAAAAAAAAAACTGATCGCAGGTTATCTGCTAGGCTGTATGCAGGCTCGCTATCCTCGCCCGAAAGGCCTCCAGAGTGAACCAAGCGAAATGATTTGCGACAGGAGAGAACTGTAGCCCTTTTCACTCGCAGCTCGCTTTGCTGGCAGATAGAAAGCTTTCTTTAAGGTTAGATGTCTGAACGAAAACTTACTGAAAATTCTGTGTTTTGAAATCTTAAACAGGAATGGAGGAATGGCTTTTATGGAGCTGGTCAACGAAGGACGACTTCTGTCACACGCCATGCGCGAACGTATCGTCATGACAACCAGCGAGGCGTTTGTCATCGTGAATAAACTGGAGGAAATTTCCCGGCAAAAGCATATGCAGTTCGTTGAGCTGTGTCGCTTAACCGAAGCCACGTACTGCGAAAACGACAAATTACAGGATCAGCTTCTCCTTGCTACGAAAAGAAGAGACTTTTCGGTCGCTAAGAATGTCATTCAAAAGGTGAGAGCCTCTCAGGATTTACGGTAATCTCGCCACCAACGAAATCGCCACCAAGAAGTCTTCTGACTGCCACATAATAACTCTACAATAGTTGTCACAGTTTACTTACCTAGGATATTGGCCAAGTTCTTTTTTGCTTTTTTTTGGCCGAGAAGAAGTCGTGGTCAATAAAAACGCAAAAAATGGACGAGGCCAACATACAGCCATCTTGATCGCGGGACCATCGCGGGAAATCCCGCCCATCTTGCCCGCTCGCGGATTCAGCCATATAATAGCGGAGCTCCACGCGTGGGCGGAGCCCCATAGCTAAGTAAATGGACCCATTTCGGAAAATTTGGTATTCACGTGACCGTACAGCGACCGACCGACCGTCCGTCCGCACCACAGGCATACCAATGTAAAATAACTCAATCAACAGGGATGGCGTCCCAAATGCAACTCGAGGTTATTTTGGCGGGAAATCGCATAGTCACCCGAGTCATGTATAGCAGACACAACTAAAGAGTCAATAAAGACGAAAACGGAAAGCAGAAATTGTTCCTGTATCCGTGTTTTCTGAAGTATTAATATTAAGCTTAAACTAATTGTCATGTGCACAAATTTGGAATATTGCTAATTAGAAATATTATTGTTTTTCACCGTTCTCCGGAGTTGCCTTCGCTGCTTAGCCTTACACGAGTTTATATTTTTTTGATTCGTTAACGTAAAAAATAGTATCCTTTTTGCCATGACGGGTCGCTTGAATTACAGTCGTCATCGCTGTTTTTTTAGCCTTGGTTATACCCTCTTCACAAAACCATTAGCTCATTTACCTTTTTCTCTTCTATCCGTTAACAAGCCTATTGTTAGCTTGTTTTTTTTTTTTCCAACCCTGTTTTTCAAAGCTTAAACTGAGTACATGTCAGCGGTTATTTTTTACTTGAACAGGTACTTGATATAATAACCAGTGAACATGGCGCATGGGCGGAGGAGCAGCAGCCATCAAGTGTGGAGTTTTACAAACTGGACATGTGGCAGGATGGCAGTCGACGGCGCATGCATTTTGTCAAGAATGAGTATGGCTCTAGTCATCCAGAAGCAACACTGTTGGAAGGAGTGGAGGGTAAGCAGACTCGTGTAATCCAAGGGGTAAAAAATCCAAATATATGATGATGATTCCTCTAAAAGCAGCTACACCATTAAAAGTTCTCCACTCTCTTAAGTTTTACTAACCTGCACCAACGTCATAATTAACAGCACCGAAGGAAAGCACTGTTTAGTAGCATTCATTCAAATCCTCAGTCTTTAGAATTTTACCCACAGAGCAATAGGCCTAGAACCTCCAATACGGCTAGCACCAGAGGAAAGTACTACTTGGTCAGTTGCTTCCATTTAAATGTGGTACCGCATAATTGATCGCAGCACGGGAAAGTACTGCTTAATCGTCTTCATACACAAAATGCTTCTGTAGATTTATGAAAAAGTTAGCAAACAAATTCCATCCTATCACAGTAGCCGTAATAATTGTTTGGTGATTTTCGCGGGCATAACATTAAAACTTTAAAAATTTACTTCCATCTTTGCTATCCGTAGCAGTAGACAAACAGGAAACAATTTCAATGCCTAAATGTAGCGTTAAATGGAATTCAATCGATGTGAAGACACGATTCAGCTTTTTAAACAAATAGCAAATAGCATGACATGACCCCTTTACCTGCCTTGGAGTTGCCTAACGTTTGCTTTTAACCTCCTTTATGAGCACTGAATCCCTCTTCGGCGATGACTTTTCGATTGATTCTGTAAGAAAAAAAAAGGATAAGTAAGTCATTATTTTTCAACTTTACTTCTAGGAGTAAACCATGATGTCTCAGCAAGCCCGCAACATTTAAACTTCGCTAAAATTTCATCCGCCAAAGCTGAAGACTCGTATTCTCTAGACGAAGAAGAAATCGCCGAAATGATCATCGAGGATCGGAACCTGGGCCGAGATGTTTCGGGTCACGTGGTGTTCACGACCTCCTGTCATTTAATTGCTCCGTGTGTGGTCGCCCCAGGTTCTTTGACCGTGACCTCTGAGGCTTTGTTCTTTGCTGTGGATGAGGAAAATCCGGAATATCAGAAATTGGACCCAAAGGTGCGTGTGTTTTTCTTTAAGACTTTGACGGCAATATAAAATTTCCCCTTCATTGTTTAATATTTACCCTGTGCAGCTTATTGGGGACCTCAAGCAACGAGAACGACGACGGCGGCAGTGAAAACGTCGCCAAATTTGCTTTCCTTCAAACTTAATCGAGTCCACTTGAACCAGCTCAATATGTCAAATGCAGGCTACTTTTCCTGGAGTTGAATTCCTAAGGATTTTATTCGGGTTCAAAAAGAGGAAGGAAATTTCGTTGTGGTATGTCCACGTCCTCCATAAAACGTCAAATTAGGAGGCTTCACGTCGTAGTCGTGCAGTGGACGTCAAAGAAATGTACTATAAAGCGTGATGCACGTGCAGAGCTGTTGTTTTGATCATTAAACCTGTTGTTTTTTGAGGTTGTCGTTGTGGTCGTCGTCGTAGTTGTTTAAGCTCCCTGTTATTTAGCAGTTAACCGTCGAGAGATAACAATACTCAATCTATGGGATTTTTGGCCCTGTGAAAGAGAAATGCGTTTTCGAAACCTCCTTTTCGTGTCAACAAAAACGCGTCGAATGCTCTGTGTCCTTACGAACGTTTTTCGCTTCCACTTCGACCGTTCAAGAAATTAAGCGATAGAACACGAACATCTGGCGATACGTTCTCGTTCCCAGGTTATTCTCGAATTAGAAGTTATCCATGCGCGTTCTTTGAATTGGTGAAACGGGACGCGCTTATTAGTTAAACCTTAAATAGCAAGCCTAAGGTGCTATTAAGGTATCTGCAGAAAACACTAGTTGTTGTGGTCCTCAGACAATCTCTCGCTTCGCTGCCAAAGTTTCGCTGTCTATGAACCTTACAATCTTTTAGCATTATGTTTAAGAAACCATATTTTAAGGATCATTATAAATGCCTTTTTTAGTTATCTTTGTTTTAATAATAATAATAATTTACATGTATATAGCGCAAACCTCTATATGAATATATTCGGTTGCGCTTTACAACACCGCTATATTAAATTTACGTTAAAGGTGACTAAAGCATGAGAAACTATTAAAAACTACAAAAAAAGTATTAAAAACTATAAATTAAAAAAAAAACCTATAATAAAAGGCAACAATTAAATCTATTTAATAGCTAAATTGAAAAAATGACTTTTAACAGCAGTCTTAAAAGTGTCCAGTGTCTTCATGTTGCGAATTGCCGAAGGTAATGCATTCCAGAGATAGGGTGCAACTGACTGGAATGCACGATCGCCAAGAGTTGGATGGGTCTTAATGCCTGGTAACTCGAAGAATATAGACTCATTTGACCTTAGAGAGTACCTGGATTGCTTTTTGATAGTAATGAAATCAATTGAGCTTGACCATGTAAGCACTTAAATGTCAAAAGTAGAATCTTAAACTTTATACGGTAATTTATTGGAAGCCAATGAAGGTGGAAAAACAATGGTGTAACATGGCAGAATCTAGGTGTTCTGGTGACCAACCGAGCCTCGGCATTCTGTATCCGTTGGAGTTTCATGATATGTGAATTCGGGAGGCCATATAGTAGACTGTTACAATAATCTATTCTACTGGTGATAAAAGCATGAACTAATGATTCGGTGACTGAACGACTTAAATATTTAGAGTAATTATACAGCCTTGCCACCCCGATACTCCCTTGCCACCCCGTTTTCTTGTATCTTTTTTTTGTTCTCGACCTATACATCGTTTTCACTCACGTTTTCAGTGGCTATGCCAATTTCTCGAGAGGAAAGAGTTCAGTAGGCCATTTCCGAGTTTCAAATTTTCCTGTGAAAATGAGGTTTATTGGCTGTTAGCCTCGCTTTGAAACTGAGGTTTGAGGCAATTCGGAATTGACCTATCGTGACAGGATGTTTTTGGTACACCAACATGTCCCCCGTGACGTCATGTGAAACGATCTATTGATAATTTGATTGTGAGGGCGTGACCAACTCCAACTACAAGTCACATTTAAAAGTCGTAAAATAGTTTCATTCCCCGCTTAGCCAAGAAGCCAAGTACGAAAACTTGCCTATTGCCTTCCGGCTTCGCATATAGACGTAAACAGGACGATTTTGGTAGCTCTTGAGGGAGTATCGGGATGGCAAGGCTGTATAATTACTCTTAATATTCCCGGCGCTGTCAATCTGTCCAGTCGTCCAGTCTATACTCGATATCAGTCGGTAACAGTTCAGATTGATCGTATTTCATAAGGGATCAATGGCCAATCGATCCCCCTTCGTGACTTGAAGCGATTGTTTCCAGTATTACTTTTTTCTCTTTCAGCTACTGAATTTTTATTACACCTAGTGATTATAACATTCAACAACTGTCAGTTTGTTTACTGTTTGTTGTTGTTATTATTATTATTGTTTTTGAAATCCCGCACACCCCATTTCATTCATTCCCGTATTTTTGTGAAGTTTGCGAGTCGAACAAATTTTCCAACTCTAAATTTTATCTCTTGGAGCTGTGAAATATTTTTAGTTTCCCTGACAAAATTCTTCGATCTAAAAAACAACCGACTAAGGTTTACTTTATGGTCAAGGGCTTTTAATAAATAACATTCCTTAGGCTCAAGTGAATGCAGTTTATTTTCCACGGCAGTCGGTAGCAAAATGATCTGCTCATCAGTAGTAATGTTATTGTAACAGCCTGCCACTAATGCACTAAGAAATTTATACGAAGAGCTCATCCTTTTTCCGTTGACGTAACACATGAAATTTTTTGGTTAAAAAATGAAAGCCCCAGTTTTGTCTGTCCAGCTTTGCCTTGATCGGTCCTCGGGGGCTTTCATTTTGTATCGTTGCGACTTCAGTGTTTCTCATATTCCAGCTTGATCGGCGTCGAAAAATCACTGAAATCAAAGTTGCCGTCTTGGTGAACATTCTATGTGTAGCCAACAGCACACAGTGAAATAATTTCGCGCAGTTAAAAAAAAAAAAACGTGCCAACAGTCCTCAATTGTGAAATGTCGTTGATGAATTTGTAGACGATCCTTTAGAGTAATCAGTTGCTCTCACTTCTGTGTTTTGAAAAGTTTTTATTTTTTCCCATTTTACAAAAAGGGATTTTAAGTATTTCTTCTTGGTTTTATTGTTTTTTTCTAGCGGGAGCATTGTTAGAACTTAAGAATTTTACTGCTACAGTTACTTATTTTTTGTTCACGCTTTATTTCACAGATATAACATGCTAACATCTTTTTTATTATCCAGCCAAATTTAATTACTCTGTTCCATTAATGCCCCCTCCAGTTTCGATGAGCACTTAACAAATGGTTCTTTAAATTGTCTAGATTTTTTTTCCGTATCTACTCATAACATTTTCGCTCCCTCTCTTTGAAGATGCCGCTTTAATTTTACTCTACATTCTTAACAGATTTGTGATTAAAAGTCACGCAACTTTCAATATTTCGCTCTCACATTAGTTAATTGCTTTTTTTATCTCAGTGGTAAGACTTTCGAGCAAATTAAAAAGTAAGTGCTTTTCGATAAGAAAGATTGTTAAATATGTCTTTGTTTATTTCATCTAGAAAAGAAAATAGCCGTTCAACAGGGACTAACCGTAACTTTAATTTTTAAATCAGGCGTTTTTTGTTTGTATTTTGTCATTATATTATTACGCATATTTTATATTTTTCCCCAATAGCTTAAAAGTATGCCTCGAAAAGGGCTTTTTCCGATGATGACCTTGACTTGTGGGTTCACCAAATGGAAATATTGTTTTGACAAAAAAGAAGAATAAGAAAAAAAGAAAAACGAACCTTTTAACGAATTTTTCCTTTAAAATAAAAGTTTGCTAGACCCGGTACATACCTGTGTGACGTGATTAAAGCCAGTTAAAGAAGGACGATTTAGTTTAAATGTCCTTTGATGACTTTTTTAGTTCTGCCGGAATCAAGACCCTTAGGCTCGCTAAAATTATCTACCCAAAAGTTAAAGTTGCTAAATAAATAGTACCATGTGAAAGTACTGCTGAAGAGATTTCATTTGAATGGTAACACCACAGGATTTCATCCACAGACTCAAAAGTTAGAACTACAAACTAAATAAATAGTACCATGTGAAAGTACTGCTGAAGAGGTTTCATTTGATTGGTAACACCATAGGATTTCATACACAAACTCAAACGTCAGAACTACATACTGAATAAACATGTGAAAGTACTGTCGAAGACTCCATCAAGGACTCTAGCAGTGAAAGAAAGAGTTCCCTTTGAATTACGTGATTCGGTCTTATTTTTACACGACAAATCAAGACCTCCAATTGATTTAGAAATGGTGGAGGTCGTTCTGTTGGTCTAATTTTCAGTGTTATTCGAAAAGGCGAACATTTAACTCTCCTGACGTTGGTAAATTTAATCATTAGAAGACATCAGATTGAGATGTAGTTCTTCGGTAATGACCGTTTCACTTAAAACAACGTTCTCTACCGGAGAGATTTTTAATTAAATATTTTATTCATCGTTCTGTGTAAAGTTTTAATAGTGCCTTGGTATAGACAACAAATTATTAATAATAATTCCTCTTAGATTTTTTTTTGCTCTTTTTTTTTTATCATCAGAACAGAGTTTCTGTTGCGTGATTTGGTTCTGGTTCTGGGAATATTTATTATTCCTTTTTTTCTTTTCATTTTAATACAACACCAGCCGTTTTTACTTGTGTTTTAATATTATATTAGCTGCTTGGCCGGTTTTTTCTTCTTTTATTGCGAACTTATCCTTACGCTAAGCTGGCACGCGGCAACTTGAATCAACACGCCTTGAAACTGACAGCTTGTCATCGCCGTGCTTTGAGTGGCTTTAGTTTTATTTTGAGTCACGAGCAAATAATATCGATGAATGTTTCATCATGAAAGCAAGCAATTATTCGCTCTGGTTAACCTGTTATGTGTCGAATTTATTTCATATTTGCTTCTCTTTATGCAATAAGCGTTTGGCATTTTCATGGACCGGCGAAAACTTTTCGCTTCCTCTGCTAGCTAGTTGAAACAGGTGTTCCATAATGAGGTGTATATGGAGTGTCGTCAAACGTTGGTTTTCCTTGAGGCGGGTGATTTCAAGCCCGATTACAACAAGTTAGCTTCATCTAATCCTTTGCTAAAAAATGGAAGCGTTATGAAAAAGCAGAATTGGTTGTTTTGACGAAATATTCAAGATGTCCCGGTGCCTTTTGCAAGCAGTTAGAGCTAAGAATGGGACTGTTTTGATTCAATGAGTCCTCGACGAGAGAGAACGCGCCATTTTATCATTCGATAAGGACAATTGATTATAAAAGTTGATAAACTGTGCCCGGAGGCCGATTTTTATATTAACAAACAACACTTGACCGTATTTGTTGTGAAGGCCTAAGCGTTTTCTTCTGGTCTCCTTGTGTCAGTAATTATCGGCTTTTGAAAGCACACACTTTCAATTTTTGTTGTCAAAAAATTGTGGATTTGATTATAAGGATTTCGTTGTAAAGGATTGCACTTGTCTGCTTATTTTTAATTTTTATTATTGTCATTATTATAGTTTGTGCTACTTAACAGTCATTTGTAACCCACAATGCAAAGAAATCGTGAAACTTTCCTATCACAAGGCTTTTAATAAAAAGTTATACTTAATGGGGTTTAATAATTTTACTTGTCGGTTTGTTTTTCTGGCCTTCGATATCGTTGTCATTTTTCTCGGATTCCTTTTATCCCAACCGTTGTTTGTTCTTGATTTATTGCTTTTTATACTCGCCGCAGATAAATTGTGTTTAACGCAATAAACTCGAGGTTATTAAAACCGTAGCAAACAATGAATCTCGAAGGAGAAGATGCTAAATGGTTCTGTCTCGTCAGTTCTCGGCGAGAAAGTAATTGTAATGTACAGACTTGGAGCTTGGTTATTGAAATTCTCTAACAAGTCTTACTTTGTTCTTAATTTCAAGTTGCGGTCAACCAAATCCTCGGCTTGCCATGCAAGAACAGTTGCCGAAAGTTTCAATATTTCAAGCAATAATAAATAGTCAGTAGGCGGTCTATGTTTAGAAAGTTTAATAAGATATACAAACGGCTCGGCATATGGCAAAGAGATGCAAAACGCTTTGCTTGAGCCGGTTTTGATGTAAACACGCAGACAAAAATTCGCTGGCCGAATATATTCAGAAATGTATTCTGAGAATGTGGGGAATTTTCAAGTGCTTGCATTTTGAAAGTGAAGATCTAGGCGGGCGTGATCAGGCTTTTGTGGGTTCGATTTTTTTTCTTCCTCGCGGCTAATAATTTACTCAAAATTACTGACCTCATGCATGCTGTTGGTCTCGTTTCGGCCTGGGTTATTGTTAGTGGGATTAATAACCGCTGACAGGTTCAATTGGTTGAGCTGTGGCACGATAATACTATATACCGGAAAAAGACCCCTCATCCGTTTCAAACAAAACGTTTCGCCGTGACGGCTACTCGTGTGCGATCGATTGCGCCGGCTATCGTTTTCTACATGGCTTTCATTTTTACCGAGCGTCGCAGTGGCTTACAAAAATTTGTCAACACCAGAGTACACAGACGGAAGAGCGAACTCTATAAAACCGTGGCAACCATTTGCACAGTCGCCCAGGAGCTTTTAAAGCATGTCGAGGCGCTTGAACCTCGATTTATATCCTCACTGAAGCTTATCGACGGAAGGTATGAAGGTGTTAAAGTCCTCTCTCCACGCAGTTTCGAGATCCATTTGTATCTTAATCAAATGGGAGTATTTAATTTCATCGATGAAGGTTGCCCACCTGGTTGCGCTATGTTAAAACTCAGCGATGAACGAAAGCGTTCCATGTCCCTTTGGACGGAATTTATCACTGCTTCTGGGTATCTTTCCGCAAGAAAAGTTCGCTCAAGGTTTACTTCTTTAGTCGCAGAGGCCATACGACGCGGAGAACTTCAGAATCAAATTCGAGTAAACGTCGACAATCATTTCTCCACAAAGCTTACCGTCTTAGAGCGTCACACGGTAGAGCTGATCCCAGCCTTCCGTTGCGGTTCTATTTGGCCGCAAAACGGATGCTGCTGGCCTAATCGAGACACTATATGGCCTTCACAACCAATTGTAGCAAGCATAAAACTACGGGGGTTCTCTTTGCTTGCGCGCGATCCGTTTCCAAGCGTTAAGGGTGCTAGTTCCGAAGGGGATGCTTGGTTATTAAACTTCAGTGAAGCGGAAGACATGCTATTCGCTACTGCAGGAAGAAGACTTTGTCTTAGCATGTTAAAAACTTTGTATGATAAACATCTGGACTTGCCTGGGAAACCCCTCGAATATGTGCATTTAGTCATGCTGCTGTTATACGAATGCGAGAAACACCCCATGGAGGTAGAATGGAGTGATGAGGCACTTGTCGATAGAATCAACAGTACTCTTTTACAACTAGTGTCCTGTCTACAATGTCGAAAATGTCCCCATTTCTTTCTAAAGGGAGTGGACCTGTTTGGATGTAAATCCAAACAGGCGTTAGACAGTGCAGCTAAACAAGTTTGGAATATTGCTCGAGACATTGCAACCAACCCAGGAAGCTTTGACACTCTATAGAGTAGTCAGGTGCCGTCTTTTAATGGACATCTTTAGTAATCTTCAAGGAAAGGCACCATCATAGATTGAAATCTAGATTGTGCTGATAGAAGTCTTGTTGCTCAGACTTAAGAGTATGCGGATAATATTAAAAGAAAAGTTATAAGTTTAAAACATCAGCGACTTCTTTTGAAGTTAGCTGCAAGACCTGCTGATAACCAAACGTGCTTTGTTCATCGTAAGAACAAGCATTAGACAACCCTTGTCAGCCGTGGCAGTGATTTCAATTTGTCACTACTTGTGGTAAACGCTTTGAGGCAAAAACAGTTCCTTTAGCCTTCCTTCTGGTAATATGTCTCGGCAATTAAAAGGATTTGTCGGGGTTGTTCACGTTAGGGTCAGGTTCGCATAAACAGCACCCCCAAGGAGTAAACTATCAAAGGCTGTAATGAGATTGCGGCCGTTGAGATGTATTTCACCTACAGATTCAAAAATTATAACCACAATATGTAATTTCTTTTTTAAGACAAGCAGTACTCGGTTGGTTTTACTTGAATGATCTCGCTCTAAGTAGAAGGCCCAAAAGTCACATCCTCAAGACGATGTAACAATAGTTTAAGGTTTGAATTTTAAGAGCCTAGGATTAAACTGTCTGTTTCTGGCGAAAGTGACATCAAAATTTGCTTGTTTCCGTGTGATAAATAATGGTTTGAGGAAATTGATTGCTCTCCAGTTTAATTAAGTTGGAAATTCATATTAAAAATTGAACGTGGATTGCATAGCCCCAGGCGAATTTTAGCAGATAAATAAAGAATTTAGTCGATACCGTATTTTAACCGTTTGCTCAGGCAAGCAGACCTATGATTGTGTAAGCCTGTTTCACAAATTATCTCTCTTTGTTTCTATGTTGTTTTATATTTGAAATTTTCAGTTGCGATTTAGAGTTGTTATGAGAAATAACTTCAGTTCTGTTCACCGGTGCTTGAAAAATTGCTGTATACACATAACAGTCCAGCCTATATTATGAGACAACACATAAGTACAAAAATTTGTAACTTGTTTTTGTGTGTTTGTGTTTTTTTTTTCTGAAAAGTTGAGTCGCTTGCTCTCTTGTGTCAAAAGTGTAAAGGAAAGAAAAATGGCGCGACAATTTTAAGCGATTGTTGTTGTACAAGCGGGATTATTTGCTGGTATACTATTAACTACGTTTGCAAACAAGTTTCGAAAAATCCTTAAATATTTTTTATTCCCCGATTTTCCCTTTTTTCGTGTGGTTATATTTAACTACGTAGATGGATTACAAAGTGGCATTATCAGCATTCCTCTTTCCGTTAAACATGCGGTTAAGTGTTTTCAGTAGCCATGGAGTTTATCCAGCTCATGTCTCGTGTTGTCTTGTATATGAACCAAGCGTCTTTTCGTTTGCTGCATCGCTTTAAATTCCAAAACTGTTGAAAGTATATAGGATGTTTTATAAACCAAACATACAAAAAGGCAGCTACTAGTACTAGTTCAGGGTTTTATTTACAGACTCGAAAAGCGAAGACGTTATGCAGCGTCATAAAAAAGTATCAGGATTCCATCAAGAAAGTAAGAATGGCATTAAACGACTCGGGAAAAAGGCGTAATCGATTATCAAGAGTAGCTGATTTTTGCTATAGAACATTTAGAATATCACAAGCATTTAAGTTGCTCCTGCACGCAGTCTGGTACATAGAATACGTGAACTTTGCTGTAACTTGTAACCAGATCGAGAATTTAGCATCGAAACGACTGCTATAGAACTCGGCTATTTTATGATAGTACTTGAACTTTATCAATAAATAACGCAATGCACTTCGTTAGTATGCAGTGAACAATGTTTATAATAACTAAAAAAAAGTTTTTTTCCTTGTAAGTTTAGGGTCAAGCTTATATTCAACGGAACCACGTGTCGATGTGATGCAAGACCAGCTGCATCTTTTTCTTTCAAAGCTGTCTTTTGAAGGAAGTTAAAAAAGACAACCGGTTGGGATTTTTTGTTTCGTTTGCCTCGTGGCTTTCCACTTCCATTTGCAGTCTACCAATATCGAATAAAAATTTTCTAGATGCAAGAGCCGTTTTCACTAAATGCTCACTCTTAAAGTTAGTAGGACCACAATTCAAATTTTAATAAACAGTACCTCAGGAAGGTATTTTTCATTTGTCATTAATGCTCACACTTTAGGAAGCTCCTGGACTTATACAATGTCGTAAGGGGTTTTGGATGGGCTCATATCCGGTAGGCCTTACAAGTGCCTTTCGGATTCAAAAACGTCTGGCAACAAGCTGATAACGGCTATACACAGATCACCGTACAGTCTAAAACCTCATTGTAAAGCGTTGTGACGGACCAAAAGGATAGGGCGTACTGCTCAGTTATACCACGTTGGTTTTCCTCACATTTTGTGGCTTTCAGCGCCTAGTAACTTGACAGCTACAGCGTAGAACAGAATTTCAGTCTTTAGGAGACTTGCAAGCCATAAACGGGGGTGGGTGTGGGGGGAGCGTGGTCGGATACTGTCACTGTTAAGCTTGTCTTTGGGGAGCAGTTTTACATCAGCCATTAATATGTTCTCTGAAAAGCCGAGACAAACGACAAACTAGCCTATCGAGTTCAATTTTCTTTTTTTTCTTTTTGTAAGAAAAAAAACTATAAATAAGTGGCACTGTGCAAAGGAAGTTTCATTTGAATGGCAACATCATAGGAATTCGCCCACAGATTGAAACGATAGAGTGAAATAATCCGCAGTCCTATAGTGAAAGGATTGATATAACTGTACATTTACACCTAAAGCTTAACCGTCTTCATGCGCAGACGTGAACTACTATTTCAAAACCCTTGTACCCTTGCCAACGTTCAGCTGGAAACTATCGCAGAAGAGAATGCACCACGAGATACAGTCAACGCCCTCTTAATACGGGTACTTTCTATGGCTCCATCGGTGTCCTTATTGACTGGATATGACCGTATTACAACTTTCGATCTTTATAAGCGGACTCTGAAAGTTCCTTACAAACTAGTAGCTGACAGTTGTCTTCCAGTACCACCTCTCCCTCCCGAACTGGTTTTTAACGTTGTGTGAATTCCAAGACTATGTGAGAATGGTAGCCGTTGTTATTCTTAACGGAGGAAAGGGACATGAGTACCAAAGTCGAAGTTCTAAATTACTCAGTATTCAGCTTGACAAAACAAAAATAATAAAATAACAGCGGGAGGGAATACTGTTCAATCTTTCAAAACAGTTAACCTCTTCAAGGGATGGGGCAGTGGTGAGGGCGCTCGCCTCCCTCTAAAGTAGCCCGGGTTCAAATCCCGGCGTCGACGCCATATGTGGGTTGAGTTTGTTGTTGGTTCTCTTCTTTGCTTCGAGAGGTTTTTCTCCGAGTACTCCGGTTTCCCCCTCCCCTCAAAAAACCAGGCGGATCCAGGGGATGCCCCCCCCTTATTTTTCGACCGGGCCCCCCCTTATCTGAAAGTCTGGATCCGCCACTAAGATTGTCGTCTCATTTTAATTCGCAAGGAAGAGTAAACCCTCTAAAAATTGTGTTAAGGCCTAGAAGCGATAGCTTGATTTGTAGTGGTAGCCTTTCTCCAATGTACGGCTGTATAGCAAATAAACAGTCCTGCCTGATTAGTCCACTTATAACATGAATTTTATATGATTTTTACCCTAAGGCTTGTTTCACTCTCATTTCCCCGTTTTTTTATATGAAGAAATGGAAGGATAAATTTGAAGCGAGAGAGTCAAAGTTGCACGTTAACCCTTTAAGCCCCAAGGGTAATCAGCATCAAATTCCTCCCTGTAATATCAATGCCTTGTAAAACAGAGTGGTCATGAGAATTAAGGACATGATCACACACGATGTATTTGCTTGATATTTTATCAACTTCTCCCACTTCTTCTATAGTAAACGAATAGGGGTGACAAATGAGAATTTTAATTTTGATCTTAGTGCTTAGAGGGTTAAGTGCCATTAATTTGAGAAATACAAGTGAAGGTGTATTTAACTACACTCTCCCCGTAAGTTGTCTTTTTCTTCTACTGGTAAACACAAAAGCACCAAGGGTTACTAAAAATTTCGCCTCAGTTTTCTTTGAGACGAATTTTTTTTTGTGATAAAGTGTTGAAATTTGTGTGCGAAGTTTATAATGAAGTTCTCTTGTTGCTAAATATTTAACGTGCAAAATGAATAGTGGAAAAGCACGTTCAATATCGTGATATTTCTTGCGATAGTCATGCAACATTTTTATTCTGGTCACACCCGCGCACAGGGGAACAATAGCGTCGATACTGGGCCATATTTGAACCACGTGGCTTGGAAGTAGTTCTCGAGAGCCTTCAAATATATTTCCTATCCGTTTTAAGAACCAGAAATAATTTCCTTGATATATCTATCACACTAGAGGAAAGTGTTTAGGTAGCATTTAGTAGATAGTGGTCTGTGTAAGAGTGGATTCGCAACCACCCAAAAAGATTCACAAAACTATACAATGATATACTGATTTGTAGAAACTAAGTTTTTTCCGCACGTTGTAGCCTACAGAGCGTCATTTTAAATTTAAAAGTCGAGGTTGAGATTATGAAAAATTCAAATTCTGTACGTCGAATCATTGAGGAAACTCAAGTTTAGATCCCTATTCTACTTCGTCCTATAAAGCTATAAAGCTATGCAACTATGCAATATATACGGCTTTAGAGTTGCCGTTTAGGCATAGTTAAGTTTCCTCCTTGGAACTATTGCCGGTGAAAAGGCACGGAGAGATTATTTACCTCGAATGGAACCTCAGACTCTTATCTCTTTCGCTTTTGGGCAAGACAAAAAACCCTCATGTAACGGCGAATGGCGGCACATGATATCCGTGACGATAAAAACAACAACAAAACGTTTAATCATACATGAGGTTGAATCAACTCACAAATATCATCACAAATATCCGTGAGAAATCCATAGCACGAGAAAGAAAAACTGAAACAAACGACTTACAAAACGCTTGGGAAACTTGAAGAAAACCTTTGTGAAACTTCAGATTATTTCACGGTGGCCTCGTGCCCGCCAATGCCGAGGCCCCGTGCACATGCTCCTAATAAACAAGGGGGTAAGCCCGCTGGTCAGGATACCAGCAGTTACACCTCATAAGTGGTAATGTGTTGACTTGATCAATCAATAAATCAATCCCATAATTCTTCGGATTAAATTTTTTAGGTGTGTAAGCGAGGCCAAGGCTGAGCTGGGATGGGTATAACTGTCATCTGTCATCTGTTGTTTTATGTTTCTAAATTTTTCACTTTGCAGGTTCTGGTGTATATGGATTGCTTGCACGGCAAATGGCCTTTGGATGCAATAAAAGCCGTATTTTCTCGGCGATATTTGCTGCAGAACTGTGCAATTGAAGTGTTTACCTCCACAGGATGTAAGTACTTGCCATAACGGCCTTTATATGTTCATAAGGATTTATACAATTCGTTATTGATATCAAGTCCTAGCTTTTGCTTAATTGAACTTAAGCAAGAACTTGGATATAGTTAGTAGAAGAGACTGGTTATGAAAAGCTTCAAGCATCAAAGACAAAAACGGTGTTGCAGTTTATGTTGGGAGTTCCCTGAGGATGTTAATAAAACGGGAAGCGGGGAACGGAAAAATGAAAAATGGGAGAAAAAGAGAGAATTGGAAATGAAGTTAGTGAGAGGGCTAGGGCTGAAGTTAGATTTTGTTTCCATTTTTCATTTTCCCGTTCCCCGTTCCTCGTTTTAGTATTATCCAGCTCCCTGACAGTGCACAATTCTTTGTTTATCTTTGTTTATTGTCCACAAATTGTGACGGAATAAAATACTGCGACGTTTTTATTAGCCAATAATATCAAAATTAAATTATAGGAATGCTATTGAACGTTGTGCACCTTCAAGTCCACAAAAACTTATGATAAAGGCGTCTGACGGGTTTCTTTGCCATTCCACTATACTGACTATGGTATGGAGGTTAAGAAAAAACTAGCAGGTTTGGTCAGTGGAGTCAGAGAATGTCCAGAAAACTCTAAAATTCTTATTCTTCTTGTTCTCTCATAACTTTTTTGGCAAATGGCCAATTGCTTTCTTTATCTGTTAGTTCCATGACAAAGTTTTTCTCCTATTGCTGTTTTTTGATTTCACGTCATCCAAAAAAAAAAAAAAATCAGAGCCGTAAAAATGAAAAAAAGAAAAAGTCCGTATTCAGGGAAATGAAAGGAGGTAAATATGCAAAGACCCTACGAAAGCGCGTATTCATCTCTTGAAGAAGTCGCCGTGTAAATTCTGAATCACGCAAAAGCCTAGAAATTAGAAATAAAGAACTCTTTCGAAGTGGAAAGTTGCATAAACATTTGGTTTTGCTGCTCTAATACTTCATGAAAGTAAAAACTCAGGAGGATCAATAATTCTTTAGTTTGAATTTTGATGACGTCAAATGAGAACCAGCAGTTATGTGGGTTTAATATTCAGTCGAATGTTTCCTCTGTGTTACTGGGCGTAGTACTAAGAAGAACAATTGGTGAAGTAATTTGATATTGTATGCCCTCATGGTGTTGCTTGCCGCTTTATTCCGCAGCTTCTGTGATGTTTAAGTTTAGCGATCATCAGACCGTGAGGAAAATGGTGCGTGCTCTGCCGCCCGTTGGAGTCGGAACTTATTATGGGATACCGCAAAGCAGGTCTCTTTACTGTTTTTTTTTTGTTGTAAAATTATTGATAACTGATTAACGCACCTTTCGATTGTTCAGAACAGGCTATTATTTTCAGTCAATGGAACGGCAGGTCAATAATGGAAAAGGAGGTCATCCAGTGAACTGCTGGTCTTAAAACAGTGCGGATGGTAATTAAATTGGTCATTCAAAAATATGTGACCTTGCCCTACGCGCTCGGTCATTATTTATTTGTTTAAGAATGCCTCGGAGCCTAAGGCGTTGTGCTATATAGACTGTCAAGTACGTTGGAACCTCGTTATACCGAGGACTTCGTCATGTAGAGGTTCGTTATATTGAGGTTCCACTGTATGAGCTCGGGCGAAACTATTATTCTGAAGAATAAATTGAATCTATCATGAAAGCGGTGTCCTTTTAAAATAAATATTGTGAATATTGTTAATATTGTGAAAGTAAAAACAAAACAAAACAAAAGCCACAGACGTTTGATGTGTCTACAATGAAAGCAATTTCAAAATTTACTTGCCGGTTAATTAAGCTATGAAGAAATGTAAAGCCACTCAACGCTACTTCTTGTTTATTTTCCTTTGAGTGTCTACTTACCAACGATTTCCCATCCTCTAAACCTGAAACAAAGAAAATGATGGTTCCTGAACTTATTGAGAGAGGCGTTCATACTTCAGGATTAAGTCACTCCTTTTACCTGCTTTCTTTAAGTCACGACCCTTCAACCATCGCTTTCCGCTATTTCGCATCAATTACGAAGTACATGTACCGCATTTGAGGATAGTGTCTCAACAAGTTTGTCGCCGATTGTAGGCGCCGAGCTAAAAGTATGTGACGTAATTTAACAAGGTTTTTGCACTGATAAACTCATGGCCCTCGACACTTTATAACATGAAAAAACGACGGACTAGGCCATATTACAGGTTTCTGTGTCATTTGTGGTGTTCGTCACAACAGTTTATTTATTCATTTTTTCTTTTGGTTCAAAACTACCTATTCTAGTAATTGACTAGTCAGGTCAATAACCAGCGTTTAATAACATCAACTGACGTAATACAACTCACTTTGACTCTGAAGATGACTGCCGCACAGGTTGTCGAAACATCAGTTACTGTCAACAACAACAGTCCTATTCAGGACTGCACTCACCCGGACGATCAAATCCCATCTACTTATGAACTAACCATTCTATCAACTTGTTCTTTAGAGCCGCATCTCTCTACTCCCCTCGTCAGCTTTTCCAGAAGTCCACCATGACGCAGCGGTGGCAGAAAGGAGAAGTGTCCAATTTTCAGTATCTGATGTTTCTTAACACTATCGCCGGTAAGTTTCCAGATAAAAATTAAAGTAAGTAGGGATGATTTTTAGTACATCTCTATGGCTGGTCTCCGAAGTCGAAAGTGGCAACTGCTTTAACTCTGTCGTGGTCGTGTGTCGATCACGGTGGCTGCGCTCTGCTGGCGGCCTTCAGCCTACGCGACAAAACTGAAAGGTCGTGTGGGTAGCTGAATTTAAATCTCTTTAAATTTGGGTCATAACTTCGTGGTTGTCAGTGCCACAGAAGGGTATAAAAGCTCACAAACGTTTACCTTTCCCGTTTTATGGCAGAAGAATCGTTCTTCATGGCTAGGTTTGGGAATTTTTGAAGGAAATTTCCCATACTGCTTTTTTCTTGTGGCTAAGGCTTTCCGACAACTTTAACTGGAATAGCTGTATGTGTAATGGTGACTTTAAAGCCCGGTGAGCTTATTTGTAATCATCAAATAGTGATCAGTACAATAATTGTTTATTGTCGTGCTGTTTCAGGCCGGAGCTTCTGTGATCTTAATCAGTACCCTGTTTTTCCTTGGGTATTGACCAATTACGAGGCAGACTCGCTAGATTTGACGGATCCTAAAATCTACAGAGATCTTTCAAAGGTAAAAGGGCAATTTGTATTTTTTTGCGGACAGCGCTTTAAGAAGTACTTTATGTCACACATGTGTGATATGTCACTAGCTTCTAGTATCGCTTTTAAATAGCCAGAAAGCAATTTTGCCATAGTTTTGTTACCAGTTGCTGTATAAGTCTCCTGAACATTGAAACTTGTATTTGTGTAAGCAGATGACTAGGCCGAAAAATGAATGGTTTGCAAAATTTAACCTTTAATTAACTTTAATTTTCTCCTCTAATCTGTGAAAACATAAATATAAAAACGGCTATAGTTCGTTCTCTCTTTTAGAATTTACTTGACAGTATGTGCAGCTGTTTTATATTGTATCCAAACAACAGGAGTAACTGTGACCCTGTTTCAGGCGTTCAGATAGCAGGGTTGGCTTGTAAAATAACTCTTCTTTTTTTTACGCTTTGCTCTCTATTTCGCGCCGCTTCAATCCAAGCAAAATGGAACAAGCAAGCTAAAAGTAAAACCCACGTTAAGAACAAATTTTATCAAACTCTTTACAAATTCCCCGAAAACCAAAGGTGTCACAGCGCAACAAGCTGCTTATTTCTAATCCGTCATTTACCTATCATTTTGTATCGATCTTAGCCTATAGGAGCCTTAAATCCCACAAGACATGCGCAGTTCATCGAGCGTTACGCTTCTTGGGATGAAAATGACGACATCCCACCGTTCCATTATGGTACCCACTATTCTACATCCGGGTTTACACTGGCTTGGATGATTCGCGTGGTAAGTTGCACTAGTTTCTACCTGCAGATTTAGTCTGCTGCCATATTTAAAGTCTAACGCCTCTACTCAAATTATTTGTTAACGGTTTTTGTAAACTTTTTGTGGCTCCTATTTTTGATATTGCTCTTGATAATAGGAAAAAATCATATGCATGATAATAAATGATAACAATTAGTCAATCCTTGAATAGTTTCGTGAAAAAGTGAAAATATCACTGCAGTTTATGGTCCCTCTGAAATTACAACTACGTGACTTTAAAGGAAATATAAGAACATTTCAGCTTTTACTATATTATGACAAACGTATTTTTATATTCCTTTGAAAATTTTTTTTTTTTTGTAACAGGAACCATTTGCCACCCAGTTTTTGAATCTTCAGGGAGGAAAATTTGATCATCCAGGAAGAACTTTCTGTTCCATCATCCGCTCTTGGCACAACTGTCAGCGCGACACCTCAGATGTTAAGGTTAGTGTTTAAACCTCCTGGAAGCCTTAAGCGAAGGGCTTGTTTCTCGCTTTTCAGTATATTCCAGGTTGCGTAAGGTAAGGCACGGCGGTTTTTGTCGTGTGATACTTTGTGGTTTTTTTTTGTACCCTGCCTTCTCCAATGGAAAGGTGGTCCAGTATTGAATACTCCTCCGGACCCAAGCAGTGTAACCCTCGTACTTATTTATAGCCCTCTTGTGGCTGTAGACGTTTCGGACAAAGTTTTTTCTCCAACGAGACAACGCCTTGGGGTGACTAGAGAAAACCAACCAAAAGTATCACTAAACAAACTTTCCTTCACAAAACATGGAAACGCTAACGTTATTGATTCAACCTTCCAGAAGCAATTATCAGTTGCATTAGCCAGGAAAAGGAGTTTTACTTTATGTAATGCTCATGCATATTCCTCGCAATACTCCCAGCCTTGACTTATGAGCCCTGGGTAGGGGATGGGGGGGGGGGGGGGTAAAAAAAAAATCAAAAAAAAAACGTTTCTTCTCAAAAAAATGGAATACCTTAATTTTTTTATTTCCCCTTCACGAAATAATTTTTTGTTTGGTTGTGACAGAAAAGTGTTTTTTTTTTTTTTTTTTTTTTTTGTTTTTTCTCCAAATACCCCCCGTCTTTGGGTTGGGGGGCGGGGGGGGGGGGGGGGGGGGGGGGGGGGGCGGTACTGCTATATATGGGCTATATAGGTATGTGCCGCTGTGAAGGGCATGGTTTTCAAGCGGTGTACTCTAGGATAGGGTATATAAATCAGAGTTTGGGTCTAGAATAGGGTATCATTTTTCAGGAAACTAATCAGTTGGTTGAAGATTTTATCTAGACTAGGGATTGTGGTATAAGGTTTTGTTTTGGCTAGAATGTGCTAGTGACCTCAGTAGTTTCTGGAAAACAGCTACTCTAGAATAGGGGGGATTTGGGGAGTTTACTCTTGTATAGGTTAGCAAAATTCAACTGAACTAGCTCTGGTATAGGTTAATGGTTCCAGGGTCCCAGCGGCACATCCCCACCCAGAAATTCCTAAAGTACCCCCCTTCGGGCTTATGAGATGGCCTCGACCTAAAGTAAGGTTGACACGTTGTTCAATTCGCTGTGTAAATCTAATTTGTGGAAACAAATGGTGTTGCTTTATATTTCAGGAACTAATTCCAGAGCTTTACTATTTGCCTGAGATGTTTGTTAACTCAAACAACGTAAGTCACATTTTAATCTCATACGTTTTTTTTTCTTTCTTGATACCCCCCCCCCCCATTTTCCAATGAAAGCGTCAATCTTAGTCTTCAGCGTCATTAATGCTAACAAGTTTTACATGTTTCTTTGATGACCTGGCAATTTATTCCTGCTCGAGAAAAAAATTCTTAGGTTGAAACGAGGCTTTATAATGCTTAAAGTGTCCGACAGAAAAATTGCTGTTGACCCAGTACTTTGCATGTCAGTGATAAACCTGTTTATCAGGATTAAATACATGTGACGGAAGTTCAGCGCTAAGCCCGTGTCTATATGCGAGCTGTAGCCGGGTGTTTGTCATTATGCGATTGCAGCCAGCTGACGCATTAAACACGATTGTTAGCATTTTCTTTTCACCAACAACTATGGTAAGCTTTAAGTTTGACACATGGTGTACGACCACTAAACTTATAGAAGCGAGTGTGGATACCCTCCAGAATAAGGATCTCGATACCGAGGAAGCCCTACAATTCCTACGGACTTGCAAATAAGGACAGAAACACACATTTTAGGTAAAGATAACAAACTGGTCGGAGACTAACCAGTTGCCCTTTTGCGAGCATGACCTTTGAGTTGAGATTGGGGCTACAGAGAACAACCACTGCTGGCAATCAGAGAAGGGCTTCAGCCAGGGGAAACCCGAGTTTAATTCATGCACCCTTAACCAATCATTGGCCATGCTATTGTTCAACGGCCATTAAACGATTTTTCGTCTTCAAAACTTTCTTTTCGCGTTGTTGTCTGGTTGGTAAATAATGCTTGTTTCAGATTCTTGTTTCATTTGTATCGTCAGTTTAAAGACCGCAGATAGACGATTATTAGTAGAAACTTTGAAGAAGAGTTAAGAAGGCTTATCTTAGCTTTCTGATTTCAGTTTACGTTTGGTATTGATGATGATGGAGTGGTGATTGATGATGTAGAGCTTCCTAAATGGGCGGCGTCACCGGAGGAGTTTGTGATGCTTCATAGAGCGGTGAGTGATATACATTTGAGTAAACATATTCTGTTTACTGCAAGATTATTGCTGTAGTGAGGTCTTTCTCTACAGATTACCCTCTTGAGACCAAGGACAGTTTGTTACGTTCCTAGCGGTTCTTTTTCCCCGAGAGTGTGGTTGAATAAATATACTGGGGTAGTGGGCATGCGGTTTTCCATTTTTTTAACCTTAGCAGCTTCCATGCCTTGAAACGCAGTTTCCAACACGCCCAGATGCATTTTTTGTGAAATCTGAGAAAAAAAGACTGTTCGAATCCCTTCTCAAGGCACTCTTCGATTAGGGATACCTGTGGTAGAAGCTGACCTAAGATTCGATGAGTTTCACTGGGTTGGTGTTGTGTCGAATTGCACTATGGGAACGTTTTGGGCGGACGAATTTGGATCCAGTCTCCAACGCAACTTCTTAGAAGTGATAGCGTCATCAGTGTAGACCCATGGTGCAATTCGACGAAATACTAATCCAGTCTCATGCCCAGCCTTGAAACGGCTGGAAAACTGCACACCCATTCCTCCCCTTACCCAACCTTTTGTCCTAAGTTTGAAGTTATGGTTAATATTGGGGTGAGGGAGGGGTAGGAGGGCAAGTTCCCAGAATCTTAGACTGATCCGTCTCTGAATCTTGGAATCTGACCGTAGTGTAATCTGATTATCTCGTAGGCGTTGGAATCCAAGCACGTGTCAGCTCATCTACACGAATGGGCCGATCTGATTTTTGGATTTAAACAGAAAGGTGAAACGTCAAAACTCTTGTCCATTTTTTTTTGGTTTCAACTCAAAGAGTACTCTTTCTCAGCTTTAGAGCTAAAATTGGACCAGGGAGCAGTATTATGTAAAGGCAGCACTCACAAGTTTGTACTGTAAAGCGAGCCCTGGGCCAAAAAAACTAGAGAGAAAGCCTCCGTGGAGTGCAGGGACAAAGTACTAACTTTGGACTAAAGGCCCATTCTCCCGACTCCAAACAGCAGACTGTTGATAAAAAAAGTGAATTCCATTTCCAAAGAGAGTTTTTGCAATTTTGTAATTGATGAATACTCCAGGACAACACTCTTCGGCTTCTTCGTTTACTTTTATACGCCGTTATATACGTGTCGCTCCTTGGAGAACTTGACCTGGTGTTCCTGTTTGATCTAATCGCCTTTCAAGTATCGATGTTCAGTGAAATTTCGAAAAGTTTGAAGTCATGCCGAGGAAGTAAAATGTCGCTTTGTTTTAAATTGGTCATCCTAGTCTTGTTGGACAAGCTGAAACCTTACTGTCCTTTTTCTGCAATAAAAACTGTTTTTGTTGCTCCTACATCAGGTCCAGAGGCTGTGAAGGCCACCAACGTGTTTTTTCATTTGACTTACGAAGGCAGTGTGGATCTGGACTCCATAGCTGATCCCGTTATGAGAGAGGTAACTTCAGCGAAATTCAATCTGAAAAAAACGGCATATACTTTGAACGCATAAAGACTGGAAAATTTTGTTTCATTGCAGGCTGTGGAGCAACAAATAAAAAGCTTTGGTCAGACGCCTTCTCAACTGCTTCATGAACCACATGTACCAAGAATTGTCCCAGAATTCCAGGTATTGTGTTAACTCTTTCGGAATGTGAGATGAATATGAAATGAGTTTTCTCCTGTTGTAATGAAGCGTTCAGTACAGGCAATTTTGGAGTAGACTGGAACGAGGCCCCCAGAATTGTTGCGCGGAAAAGAGTATTACGTGGGAGCGAGCAACTCTGCCTCGCATGTGTGCCTCGCTCTCTCGCATGTAACCTGCTCGTTCCGGCGGCAATCCTGAGGGATTACTAGCAGTCTATTTTTGGAGGGCCTTCGATCACTAGAAATCGCTTGGGGTGTGGTGCAGGAGTCAAAGAGGGCATGGAACGGGGCGGGGAGACCCACTGCACCCAGGTCTTTCATTCAGCCTTATTCGCCACTTTAGAAACCAGAAAGAAAGTGGGCCAAGGAAACTTTCGCAAAGACTTATGGTACTGTTCCCTGGGACAGGGGATAAATGGCCAATAACTGTCCAGCGCCTGCCCAGTAACGGGACTAATGGCTCCAATTCCCTTCCCGTTTCTAAAGCGGCGAATTCGCACTCTTTTGATCTCAACTTCTACTCTCCCCAATCTACCTCTGTTTTCAAAATCAAATGGCGACTACAGACAGGCAGTACTAAAGCCTGGTTTTCACTATTGCATAAGCATAACAATAAGGACATACACACGCGCAAAATGCATATTTGACTCAATTCTCGATACCAGCTCCTCTCAACCCGAGGATAAACAAGATGGCGGACGATTCGTCCGCCATATTGCTTTTGATATGTTCGCATGAGGTCTGGGTCAAAGTGACATATGATTGGTCCACGGCCTTGTGCTTATGCTAATACTTATGTCAACATAAATGTCAACACCGTTTTCACTAGTCAAAGCTACGACATAAGCATACGCACAAGCACAAAAAGAACGAACTTGTCCGTTTTTCTTGTGTTTATGCTTATACTTGTGTCGACCCAGTTTTCACTTGCTTACACATGTCCTTGTGCTTATGCTTATGCGCTAGTGAAAACCAGGCTTAATTGTCCGATTGCTAGAAAAATACGCATCAGCACAGGAAAGTAGCAATTGAAATATCGTGGAGGATAGTGAAGAGAAGGCCCGGCTGTAGACAGTCTCGCCTTGTGCTTCGATTAAAAATCGTTGAAGTCGGTTGATTTGATATTGATTGGTTGATTCCGCACAATTGTAAAATAATAAGGAGATTTGGTGCCAGACGTTTACTCTGGGGATGTAGGAGCTCATCGAATACGACAACTCTGATTAATATAGTTTTACAGACAAGTTCTTAGGGTTTATAGTGAGGCTGGGGAGTTGTTACTCCGCACAGCGGAGGTTGCTGGAAAGATTTAGACAGCGTAGGTAATATCCTCACAAAAAGCAACTTTGCTTTGTTGACTAAACTTCTTGTATCCAAGAAAGGGCGCACGTTGTGACAGCAAGAGAAACGCTTTACTATTAAAATAGTAAAGCTAAAGTCAAATCTTTCAGCTTCGGCCTTTTTAAAACATCTACCTTTACGTTTCTATGCATCTACTCGCAATTGCATGACCATTTTATTACCGTCAAGAGTTAAGGTGTTAATTTTTCTTTCTTTCCTCGTTTGTTGTAGAATCCTCAGGAAGAAGAGCCGTTCAAAAGTAAGTTGATTACTGGTTGTAAGCTTTTAGATTTCTTATCGCGATGCAGATACAAACCCTCGCTAAGTTCGTTACGTGAGTGTGTGTGTTTTTTTGGATCTCTTTTCTTCTGTAACTCATTTAGTTGCTGCTTAACTGTAGATATCTCTTCTCCTTTAATTTCTTTATTAAAACTCGCGCCATTTTTGCCACTTCTCAGATTTGAGTATTCTCATCTTTCTCTTACCTGTGAGCTAATCCGAAGGAACTATATCCAGGGTGCTCCTTGCATATTTCTACGGTACGAGCATAGACGTTTCCAGTGACTAAGTAAACATCTGGAAGAATATGACTAATAATGAACTTCTTTTAGTTATTTTGGCCTCTTTCTTGAGAAGGGATCACCATAGGATATGTTCACACGGCGCCGGACGAATTTTCCACCGGCTGGAAAATTTGACTGGACACTAAGTTCGTTGGCGGAGGAGGCAGCGTGGCCGAGTGGTTAGAGCGCCGGACTTGTAATCCGTAGGACCGGAGTTCAAGTCCCGCCCTGACTTCTAGCTGGATTTGTTCACGGTAGTCCCGAGTTCAAACCCTCGACCAGCCTTGTAGATATCCAACTGGTTCGCCTCCTACCAGTCGGGATTCTTAACGTTGTTTCTTTCCATTTAAGTTTATTTGCTTCGTTATCCTTGAAAAGACACATAAGGGGAGATGATCAAGAAAGAAAGACAAAAAGAGCAGAACATTTCAATATTTTCCCCTAGACTTCTAAATTTTCACACAATCAAGGTGGTTCTTTGTGAGCGGAACACCTTAACGCACGAATTTCCAACCAATTTGAAATTCTTTCTGTGCTTATCCTGTTCACAGACCCTCTATTTTCTCTTTGGAGATCGTCGAGCGCGCGTATGAAATAAAACCGAGGGGGATTTATTGACCGCTGGCTCGCGTGGTCGTTGATTCTCGAAAAGACAGAAAGCAAGCAACGTCTGTGTACGGGCTATCCTGTACTGGGTGAACGTAACCACAGAAACCAGATCATCACCATTGGGCACTCACTCGTTATTTTGTAAAGAGCATACCTTTTGCACACCCTATACGGTATTAGTACTATATTGTTATTCAGGTTCTACCCACTGTATATGGAACTCAACACTACGATGATCTCTTACCGTCTAATATCCTTTCTTCAGGTATATATCTGACTTTTAAAGTCACAGCTGATGTTCCTGTAACTCATGTGGCCGCCAACACAGACTCTACCGTCCCCTCCCCTGCCGTAGTGACGATTAGTTGTAACCAGTGTTTCTCGGTCAACAAGTGGATTATGTCAGGTGAGGAATTTTGTTGGCGCTACCTCTGAATAATGGATAGACTGGTATTTGAGAGAATGTTAGCGCAAGTATCGTACCACGACAGATTTGCTATTTACTACAGGGATTTTTTTAAAAATCTTCTCCGCTGCAGGGTTAGCCCAAGGGATAGAGCGCTGACCTACAAAGTGGGACTGGTCACGGGTTCTATCCCCTGGCCCAGACTAACACTCAAGGCCCGGTTCCTCGAAAGATGGTTAAGTTTAACCCAGGATTAATCCAAATTTTAAGCAAGGTTTTTGTCAGTTGTATAAGAAGGTGTAACTTGAGCTTACAAAATACTGTTGTGCCTTTACTTCGAAAAACAGAAATGATAACACAAACTGTTACTCTAAGCAATGTATAAGAAGGTAAATACGAAAAGTGGGACAAAATTTTAATCTTGGATTAGTGCTTATCGGCCTTTTAGAACGGGGCCCAGGGTTCTAATTTAACTGAGTAGTGAAGGTACTGAGTTTGCCCTGCAAACGGTCAGATCTTTTCGTGGCTTGAGTGAACAAAAGTTGAAGAAAGTTATTTTTTTTCTTTAGGGGACATGAAGCAAAGTCTTCGTGGTGTTCAAGTAGAGCAGGATCCGATGCTAAGTAAGTTTAAGGGGAACTGTCTTGTCCTCAAAGCTTTTTCTTTTGTACAGCTGTTTTAACCGCAAATGCTCTCTTAAATTAGCGCCTCCTTTAAATATGCGCCCCCAATCCTCCCGCAAGAAAGAAAAAATTCCTTGAATAGAGTGGTTTTCGTTTGAGTGTCGTAAAACCAAAACCAAAGTAATTACTCTGGCCAATCACATAGGACACAGACAATACACTGAACCAATCAAAACTCGAAGTAATTACATGTGGCTGACGCAAAGCGCGGGAAAATGCATGCGAGCGCGTCACAATTGGCTTTGGTTTTACTTCTGATTGGATGAAAAGGTGGCGCGAATCTTTTAAGCCAATCGCATCGTGTAGAAAGTGCAAAACCAATTACTTTTCGACACTCAAATGAAAACCGCTCTATAGGTTATAGACTGAAGTAGAGCTAAATAATTTTAATACTAGAACTTAGAAAACACAGGACTTTGGAAAAGACCTCACACCGACTGGTGTTTCTCCTTATAGCTTCGTCCTAGTTTAAATTTACAGTAAAAATTCTGTTTCAGTCTCTTTTTAGCGTTCAGCACGTGTGCTAAAATTCGGTGGCTTACTTGAGATGTTGGGTTGCCTACGAAGAAAAACAAAACTTGTTGACTTTTAAGCTGTTTTACGGGGTCGCATTATCCTATTGGACCTGCAATAGATCAGGCCATGAGACAAGAAGTCGCTAAAGAGAGCTCTTACTAGCCGGGGTTAGTTACGTCTGCGACCCAGGCTACGATCGCTTGCGATAGGTTTCGTTTACGAGAGCTTCTGGCAACCCTAGTGCTTTAACTGTATTTTGGCTCATGATCTTGGATAAGTTGCTTGTATTGTAATGAGGATGTTGTTTGATTTTGTTGGCAGTGACACCCACTGGTCGACACAGGCGACAGCTTGGTGAACCGTTGGACCAGTCTGTTACACCTACCGCCTGCTGTTTTGTGGTAACCGCTGATAACAAGCACATCATGGCTTGCGGCTACTGGGATAACAGCTTCAAGTGCTTTTCGGCGGATAGTGGTGAGGCTGGTATTCTTGTTTTTGATATACGTAAAATCATCTTATCGAAGGTGTCATGGAGAGTAGATTTTTTGTCTTAAGGCCAAGGATCACGGAGAGGATATATTTCATTGAAAATATAGACCGAGGTAACTTAGCGTTTGCTTGGAAAGTATCCGGGAGGCCGCTGCTTCTTCTAACAGTGAAGATAATATACGTCTGTCGTTTAAGGAGGGAACCTCAGTGGCTATAAACACCTGCAGTTGTCAAGACTGATTAATTTATGTCACATTTTCGGGTATGATCCCAGCTCAACCAACTCCTTACGGAAACTGTCATTGTCGCGACTGCGAGGGAGTATTATTGGTAACATCTGATTACAATTAAAGGTGTCCGTGCAACGTATCCTAGAAATCCCATGTTTTCTCCAATTCAGTTTAAGTACGACCTTACTTTGTTTCGCAGGAAAATTGACACAGTGCGTGTTCGGTCACTGGGATGTAGTCACTTGCTTGGCATACTCACGTCACGTGGGTTTAACTGGAGGAGATGCGCTTGTGGTTTCGGGATCACGGGACGCCACCGTGTTAGTTTGGCGTTGGAGTGAGCGGCTTCAGAGAGTCACCGCATGTTACCGTACGGAGGGTAAGTAGTAGCGTAGAGTTTAACCACTATGGAGGCATTGAGTTTCGATAACTCGAGACACCTTCAATACACGTACAAAGTGAGTGTGTTTGTCCACCATCGTTTATCCAGTTACAGACTGGAGCCCGCAATCCTTTCTCCATGTTACTATTACGCATGCGCAGCACGTACGTAGCCAGCATTCGTTTTGACTCTGGACTAGAATGAAGTGAAATGTATAGAATGCAATTAGATCACGCGCGTTTGGACCTCATGTCTTTTGAAATCTGATCACGCGTGTTTTGACCTATCGCCTGAAACTTACGCAAAACGCAGCGTAAGAGCAAGCAAGCAATTCATGTGGATGAATCTGACATGGAACTATTAATTTTTATGTATATATAAGGAATGCGGTCTATCGGTTGGCAAGACGGCTGAGACGATAGTGGATCATAAGTTCTTAGTTCTTTGAAACTAATGTACTTTGAAAACTGGAGCTCTAATGTAATCATCTAATTCAATGAAAATTAGTGTTTACTACGTTTTTTTTCATAGAAAGTGGGTTACTATTCCAGATCCGAGAACTGTCTTTATTTAAATTGCGCCTGTTATATGCTTATGTTAAAACTAATGTAAGTTTGCTTCTTTCCCAAGGAGATCATCCTTCCCCTCTGGCCATTCTTACGGGTCATGAACAGCCAGTTGTCTGCGTGGATGTCAGCGCTTCCTTAGGAATCGTGGTCAGCGGTTCACAGGGTATGTTGGTATCATAGCAACTACAGTAAACATACTCTGGTAATTGATTCGCGCAGGGGTCATCCGTCCAGGCCAAAAGGTCTCACCCAAGATCATAGACCCCCTGTGTCATTCGTTACTAAGTCTGGTCCAAAAAGCTACACGCTTCACATTTAGCTGTTCCCGCGGAGCTGGTGTAGTGTGTTAACGTTCTTCTTGTTGGTGTAAATCTGTCAATTTTATTTCTTTTAGAGGGGCCTTGCCTTCTACATACCACTACAGGAAACCTGTTACGCACCTTGCGAGGGCCTGGGGAGTGCATCAGACCGAGGTTATTGAAACTGACCCGTGATGGTCTGGTGCTAGTTAACTACACTGACGGTACAGGCCATCTGGCTGTTTTCACAATAAATGGCAAGTTACTGAGCGAGAAGAAACTTGACGATCAGATGCTGGTACGTAATGTTCTCATTAAAAAACGTAGTTTGTTTTCGGTCCTCGGTTTTTCCTTATTTTAAACGTTCGTGAAATTCTAAGACAGTTGACATTTCAAGGGGCTATGTCGTGCTATTTGCTATCTTTTTAAAAAGCTAAAACGGTGGCATTGAGAAATTATTCCTGGCCGTTTGGGTTGTAAGCCCCGGCATGCCTCGCGTGGTGACCGACAGATGACCGATGGTTATTTGCAGGTCAGTTACGACTAGAAAAAAGTAACTGTGTTTCTGTTTTTCAGACGCTCGCTCTTAATAAAGATGGAAATTTTTTCGCGTCCGGTGGGTTTAGTCGGTACTTACGGATATGGAGGACTCATGATTTGGCTTTGCTTCATACCTATCCACCTTGTGACGGCAGCATCAGAGCTCTAGCCATCTCCACTGATCAGAGGTACGGTGATTATAATGTTAGTGAGGGTTTACAAACAATTACAGATCGGTCGTTTTGTCGCTTGCTTCCGCACACGTGTAATTCCCCGCTCCAGACACTATAAGAGGAATGGGTACAAGCTTTCGACGCGACGATTCCTGGGATGGACAAGTTTTAATTATGATTGGTCGATGGCATTCAAGGCAACCATTAACCAGTCACAAGTAACGCTTGTCCACTCCAACGACCCCAGAAATCGTTACGCCGAAAGCTTGTACCCACTCGTAGAGCTGGGAACTACGTGTTCGTCGTAGAGAGGTGTCCACGTTTGATAAGAGTCAAAGAAGAGGACGGATGAGCGGCTAGAACCAACCCAATGTCCGTTTTAGGGAGAAGAAGGAGGTTGAGCGTACAGCTCAGCTTGTTAGTTAATATTCTATTGTTAATGGAAAACTTATGGTCCTTGTTTTAAGCCAGTGTGACAACTGTATTTCTGAATTTTAGAACACTGTTAATCGTGGCGTTTTTGACCCTTGTGTCCGTTTAAAATCCTCAATTTTTACTTTTCAAATGAACTTTAGGCTCAATATTATTAGCCGCTGTTCGGAAAATGAACCCGCGCTCAAGACCAGACCATATAGGGTGGCAGAAATCGAGCCCAAATGATTTTGAAATTGGTAATTTTTTTACTTTGCCATGGACAGCTTCCTTCTCTCATCCCCTTTTAATCAGGGTCTGGAATGGTATTCCCGTGATCCGGGATTTGACCAAAATACAGTGCGTGATTCGGAAAACGTTATCTGGATACGTGATTTGACTGTTACTCGGGTAGTGGGATTTGCCAAATTTGGGCTCGGATGGGGGATTGGGAAAGAAAATAGCTTGCGAGCAAGCTCTCCGTGGCACTCTGGCGGCGAGGCGGGAAAAGGAAGGAGAGCTTGCAACTACGTCTCTGGAATTTGATTATCTGCATCGAAAAAATCGATGCGAAATGCTGATTAGCGGAGATAACACTAGTAATGGCATCATTACCCTTGGCACGTGTTTTTCAATGTTTGTTTACATTCGCGTTCGTTTCCGCTTCGCGCTGATTGGCGGAAATCTGACAGTCGATGGGGAGCCACAGGGGAATTGGAGGCGTAATTCAAATTCCAGAAAAGTATTTGCAAGCTCTCCTTCCTTTTCCAGCCCCGCCGCCAGAGCGCCCGGGAGAGCTTGCCCGTAGGCTAGAAAGAAATAGAGGATATTACCTGTCCGCGCGGAGATACGAAATTTCTCTTCGAGTGTTGAAAACGCTCACTCGTGAAATATTTTTTCAACACGAGAAGAGAAATTTCGTTTCTCCAAGCGGCCATGTAATGTTCTATTTATTATATAAACACCAATGAAATGCCAAACTATTTTACTTAAAAGGTTTTTTGGTCTGAAAGGTACGGTTTATTATGAAGCCATAGCAATGGTGATATTTCCACATGTGAAGATAACATGTTATTTTCACATGTGAAGATATCAAGTTTTCGCGCGAAAGCTCACTTGGTATTTCATTGGTGTTTATATAATAAAACGATATTCGTGATAGCTATAACAGAAGCTCTGGAGGCGGGATTCTCGTGAAAAGGAGAAGGAATGCGGGATCAGTACCCGCCCCCCTTTCCAGACCCTGTTTAATGAATTAATACATCAATAATCCTCTTTATTTTTATTTAGATGTCTAGTGGCAGGGCTGGCTTCAGGCAGCATTTTGGCCATTGCTGTGGATTTTCCAGGTCGTCTCTAATGACGGTGCAAATTCAATATTCGTAGCATTTTCTATTCACAAGAATTTCGGGTCGCTAATGCAACGCGAGAAGGTCATTGACTCGAGACACGTACAAAGCACAATTACCGTAGTCGTCTTCCAATTATCATACACACAATGTAGAATATTCTTGCATTATGGACACCGCGCGCCATTCGCCACGTTAGAAACAAGAAGGTCACTGGAGCTTAACTGTGTCCCGATCCCGCAGTTGTTTCTGGGACAGTTTACTGGGGACGTGCCTGTCAGCTATTGGCCAATATTTTTTTTTGTCCTTAGTAACAGCCCCAGAGGTCTTTGCGAAAGTTAAATTTGCCCAATGTCCTGCTCAGTTCTATAATGGCGAATAACGAACACTGACTTCGTACATTCGATGTCCTGGTGGTCTGAGGTAGGTTGTTTTTGGGACAAAGAGAACTGTCTCTAAAGGATAGGTGTCCGGATGAAGGGGTTGGACTATACTAGGGTTTTCTTGGAGATTTCAAGTAGACGGGCCTTCCATTAAAATAGACGGTGTCCAAACGATCCACCCTTCTATGAGGGGGTCTTGGGGCATGCTCCCTCGGAGAGTTTTTAAGAATTAAACGCCGGGAAAATGCGCAATAGAAAACCAGGTGACTACCTACGTACACGCAAGATAGATTATTTTGGTCGAACTTCACTTACGTCCATGTTGTTAAGTTAGCTTTATAATATTTATGGTGCCTAGAACTGGAAATATTTTGTGCCCACACACAAGATATGTATTAGTTCTTGGTCCGTGCAAGTCAGAGTGTCTTATTTACTTTTGAATTTTTTTGTTTTATTATATTTTTGACAATACCTTTTTAATTTTATAATTCCTTTTATTGTTTCGATCTCACCTTACCACGTCACTGTGTTTACCTCGGTACAAGTTAAAAGTTAATCACTTGTAGCTTTTCTTACGTCACTGGCGAGATTTTGCCTTTTCATACCCGAGTTTAGTGACACACAATCACACTTTTTTTTTCGTGAAGTCTATTGAAATTGTAACCACATTTACCTGTCACAATTCCGTCAAGTAGCGGAGACCACGACTTTGTTTCCGACACAAACATACCGGTATTCATCTAACGTTGGATAAATATTTAAAGCAGCAGCTGTAGGTTGAATAATGTATTTATGATAGCGAAAAGAGCGTTTTCACGTGGTTTAACGGCGGGCGGCCTTATTGGTGTACCAAGCCAATTCTAGGAGAGTTCGACCTATAAACTTGCATATACGCTGGTCACGTGAGTGAAAGCGCTGTATCAGTAGTTTACTCTAATTTTTCATTCAACATCTCGCGCATTTTCATTAAAGTGAAAGTATTGCCATCAACTTGCAGAAGGAATTTATAAGTTGCAAAAGTTAGACTTCTGCAAAGTGAAAATTTCTTGCGCACTTAGGGCATCCCTAAAGTCCTGGGACATTGTTTTTTATTTCCTTATATGGCTAAACTAGAAAACGTTCGTTTCGCGAGCAAAATTGACGTCTAGGAAGGTTGAAGCATTTCGACTTTATTAACATTTTCTCGTGTCATATTCCCAAGGTTTCCTCTAGGATACTAGGTGCCAGCAAGAGACGTGAGCGCACGCGATGTGACCTCCCTCCGCCTGTCGCCCTCATCCCGAGGAGGGTGACTTCACGCGCGCTCGCGTTTTTCGCTCACTCTATTCCATATTGCGAGACAAATTTCACAGCCATGAAGACGATATTACTTGTCATCTAAAGAAAAAGAATAGAGAACTTGATAACCCACGTAGATGTTTCCCATTCGACATGATTACCAGTGAATTAAAGAAGAGCCATACTTTCATTGCCGTGTAATGTAAAATTTGAAGGTGTAATGTTTTTAAAAAGTTAATCAACATATTGAAATGTAACAATGTTAAGTGCGATATATATCTTTATTTACGTTTACTAATTGACTTAATAATATACAGTGAAGATTGATGAGGCTGACTCGTCCCCAGTCTCGTTCAATTGTCTCTACTCATTAATTATTTACTAGGAAAGGGCTTGGGTTAAAGAACCTTTTCTAGTCTTCCATGCCAAATACTACTAATGAGACACGACTGGGGACGAGTCAGTTGCTGAGGGTAATTTAAAGTATATTGAATCTAAAATAAACCTTTGTTTAGATGCTGACAAATTTGATAATTTAAGAATTGTACTATTGTTCCCTTGAACAAACGCCCTAGAGTTTATTTCAACAATAGTGATAAATTTTTAGCAACAACTTGAGAGAGCAAACGAAATGTAAATTCTACCGTCTCTTTTATCTTGAAGACGAGCCTTGCTGAAATTAAAGTGGCGGATAGCAACAAGAAGTAGCTGAGTAATGACTCGCATGACTATTTTCCCATGCGCAATGTGGGAAAATCCTCCGCATGTACACGCCCTTAAGCCCCGTTTATTTGGAAAAATGTTGTTCCAGGGAGAGCGCCACCCTCCTAGTCGTGTCAACTTTAGCGAGTGTTTCAAAAAGAAAATGTTAACCCCTTTGTTCGAGCCAAGAACTGGCTGAGCGCTCGTGCATGTTCTGATTGTCTCGCCTTGACCCTGTTGACCAGGTAGGAGAGGCCAAAGTCAGAGTTGGCACGGCTAGGAGGGTGACCCTACAATCAAGAAAAGCTGGTGACCCAGCTTCGAGCCCAGCCAACTTTTTGTTTCTCATGTCAATGGTTCGCCAAAGTTTGTAAGGAAATGTGTGAAAAATTGGCTCGCCCAAGGTAGCCCGGGTACACTCTTTTTTTTCTATAAGAATATTGAGGCTGAAATTTGCAAAATTTTTATAATGAAACAGAGGCTGAGATTTTGAAAAGGGTTTAATTTTGTGTGTTGAAAATCCGGTTTAATTTAAGAATAATACAAGAATATTTTCAGCCTAAAATCGACAGAAAAATAAGAATATTCAGCCTGGGCGGGAAAAACAACATTCTTATATATATATAATATATAAAAGAGTGTAGGCGAATAATCCCTCTACCTGGGACAAGTTTTTTTCATATGAACGGGATCTTAGTTTTTATACACAAAGGAGACGCATACGGGGCGTTTGGTCAAGTAAACACTACCTCAAGAACTGAGTTTGGTACATAATTCAAAAGTTTAAAACTGTATAAATATGCAACGAATGCGAAAAAGCACTGAAAAATAATAAAAAGGGAGTAAATAAGTCTGAAGAAGATGATTTTTTGTTTGATTTAGCAATGCTTTTCATAACTGTTGACGCTGTATTTTATTACAAGTGAACTCTCGAAGCAAAGACCATTATTTCTTCTGGTGGTCCTTCATTTCATAACTTCCAGAAATGACCTATC